GGAGTGACCTGGTAAATTACAGCCAGTTGATTTTAGACTTGGTCAGGGGGAGGCTGCCTTGGGAGAAGAAACAAAACTGGTAAAAAATTAGAAGTATCATGTTGTTGGGTAGTCCAAGAGCTGCATCTCTTTTGACAGCAGAACCAAGAGAAGATGAGGGAGAGGCTTGAGCAAAGCTCCTACTTCAGGCAGAGGAAGAGCTTTCCAGTGGGGCAGATAAGAGTGGAACTGGTCTCTAGAGCATTTCTAGGCTCTAGAAACTGAAGATAGGTTCATTCAGAATGAATGCTGGCTGTCAGAGCCATGTGCAGAGGATGGTGAGGGGTTCTCCATAGCTTTGAGAAAGTTGGGTAAATATGCTTGAAGTGTGGGCTAGTGGGTCTGGCAATTGACCATTAACCCAGACTGCAGGCTCTCAGCACCTCTGTTCTTGTTGCTAAAAATTCCTTATTGCTTTGATAATCAGTGCAAATGATGCAACTTCATTTATATTACCACTTGCAGAAGAGCATTTTCTAGGCCTCTGTGTCTACTTGACCGCTGAGAAATGCAGCACTGGCTGATAAGATGGTTATTTTCTAGTGGAAACACACCTTCCACATCTAATCCAGTCATGCCTGAGCAGAAACCTTTTAAAAGCCTCTGCAGATGGATTGCAGTGGTTTTGCTGTACCTTGTTTGTGTGACAGTGAGAGCTTGTGGATGACTGGTAGAGAATAAACCACATTCCAGCCTTGGTGGGGGCAGAGATTCCAGTTAACAATGTGTTCACAGGCACCGTGAGGTCTTGTGACTGGTGCATCATCTCTTGACATTTTTTTTGCCTCATGTCCTCCTTCCTCTCCATTTCTGGTCTTAGCAGAGTTCAAAAGAGCAGTAATCTCTGCAGCAAGTATTACATACCCAGACATCATGTTGCATGTAGGTGACCTTTGAAATCTTCCTGTCCCCTTTTACATCAGAGCTGGAATCATCAATGAGCTATTTTACTCATAAATCCAGTCACAGAGGCAGCATCTGTATCATGTGGATGCAATGGCATTACCTCTCTTTTGTTCAGTATATAGAAGTGCTGTTATTGTGGGAGACTCAGCCTGCTTCTAGTGGTTTGTATTTTCCACTGAGGTGATTTTTGGCTAAGGCTCTGAGTTTCCATATCTTATTTTAGAGAGTGTTGTGATTTGCCTTGGTAAATCTGAGTACAGGAGATGGAAAACTGAATGGAGACAAAAAATAGTTTACAACTGGCTGTGCCTATTAGCCTTCAGTATTCTGCAAATGGACAGAATGAGGGATTGCAGCTGGATTGTCTTGTCCCTGGAGCTATTTGGTGAGCCCTGCCACTTTTTATCCCTTCTTCCTAATCTCCTATCTTTGGTCTGTTATGTCTGTACCAGTTTATTCCTGGAGTGGTGTCTATAGAGGTGGTGTCTCTTTCTGCCTCTGTTGCTGGGTGAGAACTGTGCAAGAGACTGACTTGAAAGTCCTGGCCTATCTAAATTCTTTTGTACTTTTAAAATACTTTCCTCTAAAGCCTTAAGTGATGTCCTTTGCAATGATACAAACTGGAAAACATTCCAAGATTGCTTAAAAATGTCATGGCCCTCCTAGATGTGTTCTTCAGTCATGTTCTCCTGTCTGCCCATTTATGATGCTTGTTTCTTTATGCTTGTGTCGTGTCAGCTTTGTTTGGCAGCCTTTGGCACTGATCTGTGCCTGGGACTCCAGGTGCACAGTAATACCAAGTAATAACAGTGGAAACTTAACACAAGGATACACAATTTCCAGCCTGTTCCTTCTGGTTTCCGTCCTCGGTACCAGGAGGTGATGAGGCGCTGCAGGAACATTGCCTAAGCAGTTTTCAGACTCATTTTCTGACTGTTTATCATTGTGCTGATCAGGACAGGAGTTATTTCATTGTGACAAGCCCACCCTTAAGCACTGCAGGTTTAGCCACTGCAGCAGACAAGAGAGGATGCCCCCAGCCTCCAGCTGCGAGTCTGAGCTGTTGAATCTGGGAGGAAAAGCGTGCCCTCCCTCCTAATGCCTGCTGCTCCTCGGCTCTCCTCCCAGCCAGAAGAAGGGACAGCGTTCCCCGACGGGAAGGGATTGCTCTGGAAACCTCTGTGAACATCTGGGTGCAATCAGGCTGGCCATGCATCGCACAGAGCCTCGGCAGGGCTGCGCTGCCGGGGCTGTGTCTGGAGCAGCCCCGGGCTCGCAGGGCTGGTGCTGTGCTCTGCAGCCTGCCCGGGACACGCTGCACAGCAAAACCACAGCGCTGGGAAGGGAGCTCGGGGCCATGGGACTGCAGAGCCAAACCACAAGGCTGGGGTGTCAGTCATTATAAGCCAGGAAAGCAGTTTTGGTTCTTTAGCGCTGCGCGGGGCTTTGCCTGCTCTATAGGTGGAAGTGAGAGCTGTCTGCTGAGACTCTGTGATCCTCCCTGTAATTGTTTTAGAAATTACAGCAGGGAAATGCACCAAAATGAAAGACTCCCCCAGGTGTCCCTCAAAACTAATCTCAATGGAGCTCCCCAGTGAAGTTACAGGGAAGAACACAGAGCAAACAGAAATGAGACAGGAGGGAGAAGCCAGAGCAATTTCAGAGCAGTGTGATAGCTGAAGGAAATGCTTAGGGAAATAGTCATGAAGAACAACAGGAGAAACAGCTAAATAGAAGGGAGTAAAGCAGACTGGTTGTATTTCCAGCTAGGGATAGGCACCTCCATTTATTTTGCACTGGCATTGAATTAGCTGAGAGGAGCCCAGGTGTGGTCCTCATGGTTCACACAGCACTGGGAAGATGGACAGCAGTGCTATGTCTGGTTATTTCAGCTCCAGCAGCAGCAAGCAATAAAACTCTCCAATGTTATAACTTTTCTTCTTTTTCTTTTCTATTTAATGTTTTATGTGTAATGTAAAAGCCATATAAAACCTACTTAAATCCAAGAACTTATGTAGAGTCCCCTACAGAGTGTATGTCCAAACAAAAGGCATCTTCTGTCCACTTTAAATAGCTTGCAGACCTTTGACTTGAGTTGTTCACAAAATTTGGGCAATGCCTTATTTAGAGGTGTATGTGAAATCGTAATTGAACTTATAAATTTATTTTAGTTTCAAGGTCACACACTATTTTTCCAGGGAGTGCCTGCTTAAACCCCTGATAAGATGGTTTCACTGAATGAATAGCTGTTCACAATTTTTGTTTATCATCTTCATTTTTGTGAGACCTGGAGCATGCTTAATGCAAGTGGAGTCTGTGACCCCTTTTTATTTTTCCCCCTCCTTTCCTGGAACTGAAAGACCTCTACTTTACGTGTGCCCTTAGGAAATTCCAAAGGTTTAATATTTATCCAATTTTTAATGAATTTTCACAAGGAGGCAAAACCCAGCTGGCATACCAAATCCCTCAAATCCCTTGGTCAAATGGATGTTATACTTTATTAGTATTTGTAAAGTTTTTTTCTGTTTTTTTTTTTAAATGCTGGGATCACTCAGTGGCTGAAAATGTCTTATTATAATGGAAAGTGTTAGACTACTTTGACACCAGGCATTCTTTCTAATTCTACTATGATGAAAGAACCTGAGTGATAATTAAGAAATTTTTTCCTTTTAAGGTCCCAAGGGCACTTGGCCATTGATGAAATGTGAACTTAAACCCATGGGATGCTTGCCCTGGTTGTCAAAATGTATTGTATTTGGGCAGTTTTGAGGGGGAACAGATAGCAATGGGATTTTGCTTTCCTGGAATGTTGGCTTGGATGACAGTGTGCACCCTCCTCAGGTTTGCTCTGTAAATGCCTTTTGTAGCACGAGCCATCTGCCAAAGTTTCAGTTTCAGGGTATGAAATTCAGCAGCTAAAGATATCCATGGGATTGTTCCATAAAAAACACTCTGTAAGGTGTTTAGCAACACGTGGTGTGAGAGTTCGCAGGAGCCGAGCAACGACAGGGAGTGTGTGAAATGCAGCAGGCATTGGCTGAGGCAGAATTCCAGTCTGAAATTACAGGGGTGATCACTACTGGGCAGAGGAAGCTCCTGAGGATTTTGCAGTGGATAATCAACATTTTCCTCAGTGCCTTGAGAGCAGCTGTAAAGTCACTGCTAAGCTGCAAGCAACCCAAAACTGTGTATAATGAATTCCAGAGTGTGTCCTTTCTATGTAGTGTAGTGTCTGTTTCTTATCATGGAGATCTCAGGGAAGATGGCTCAATGCTTCAAGGAGGTGTTCAGTCGGGTTATCCTCCCCAAGAAGCTGGTCAGAAGATTAATATTCCTTCCATCCTCCCTGTGCCTTGCTCTGAATTAACCCAAACAGAAGTGAAACATTGGAACACAACTCCTCCTTAAGTCCTGTGAGCACAGAGCCTCTGGTTATTTTGGGGGCACTCTGTGCTGTGCCTGCTGACACCTGGGAAGGTGTCAGTGATGGCAAGAAATGATGCAAAGCCATCAATGAGCAAGGATGGGAAGCCATGTGGCAGGGTGACACCAGCCCCTCCCCAGGCCAGGCTGTCTAGGAGTGCAGCACACATCAAGGCCACTGTTCTTCCATGTGTGCAGGGTGAAAACTGGAATTGGGTAAAAATAATAGACATATTTAGTTGTCTCTTCCCTTGTACTGTGAACATTCATGACTGTTCACAAAACAGGATGATATCTGTAGGAGTTTACAGCTTAATTCACATAAAACCTAACAGGGGAGGACAAATATAGGATAAAGTGGGAAGACCTGGCCTGTCTCCCTCACAGTTGCTATCCAGACTGGCTCAACTGCATCAGTCCATGCTGCTTCCACCTCTCCATGAGACACACATTCCCTACAATGTCATACTACTGCCCTGTGGCAGTGAGCAGAGACAATGGGAACTGCTACAGAAGTGCATTATAATATATTTTTAAAATAAAAAATAAAATAACAGAAATCTGCTATATTTTGTACATAATTTTGTTTGTTGTTTCATCTTTTTCCTTTTTGTTTCTGTTTTTGTTACCAGAGTGCCTCTGATGGCTTTTGGAAGTCAGTGGCAACCCGTGTGCCAAGGGAGCCCCACGAGATCCGTATCCTGAACCCCTACTTTATCCAGGAGGCAGCGTTCAGCTTCATTGGACTGCCCTTCAACAACGGCCTCATGGGCAGAGGGGTAGGTACAGAGCAAAGGGAGCCAAACCTCACAGAAGGATGTGAGGCCAGGCAGCACAGGAGGCTTACACTGTTCTTATTTTTCCTTTGGGCCTCTACTGTTGGACATTGAAAGGGAGGGTCTTTGGTTCTGTTACAGTCACAGCTCTCAGACTCCTTCAGACCCAGATTCCTTCAGAACCTTCCTGATCCAAGGATTCTGGGGGGATCATCAACACTTTAACAGTGCCTTGTGAAAGCCACTGTGAAGTTGCATCCCAGGCTGATAGTAGAAAAGGGTAAAAGTTTGCTCTATGAGGCCTTTGGTAAGAAATTCTGGTCTTAGCCCAGCAAGTTTTATATGTAAAAGCTCTCAAAAGCAAACAATGCAAACCACAGTTTTGGCTCATATTTATTAACAAAATTCCTTAATGCTCATTCTTGTACCTCTCACCCCCAGTGCAGCTTTTTGGAGTGTTGGTGTTGGAGTAGGTGGTGACTTGGGTTTTCTGGATTATCTCACATTGCAACACTGTCCTCAGAACCTATTTATATTTGCTCTACGTAATATATCAACCATTAGAGTAAGTATTACTTGGGTGGGTAAATTGCTCATGTACACATGTGATATAGTTGTTGATAGAGACCACACGTGACATTTTTGGGCACATTGGCACAGCTGACAAACCCAGAGAGAAGCACTTTTGCTGGACAAGGTCTGCTTGGTCTGCCCCTGGCATTGTCCTTCCACTGCTATCAGTGCAGGAGATTTGCTGTGTCACAGCAGGGATTTGGACAGAATAGTGCCTCATTTGCCTTGCTCAAATAATTATATCATGTAGACTTCTGGAATATTAGAGACTTCTGTTTTGTGCAAGTCAGATGGGTGGATGCTTCAAGATAAGACATTTCCTTCTCGATATGCAAAATGCAAGATATGCAGACAGATTCAGCCGCATGGAATGGTGCTTTTGAAAAATACACTGCTGTGTACAGAAGCTGTCATGAGATTCTGGGAACTCTGGATTTTTGTTCTGTGCACTGAAGGTATCTTATTGCAAATATTCCAGTCAGCTAGGAATTAACTTACTTCATCTCTCTGCATTCTCCAGAACTTACCATTAGAACAATGTAGTCTTGATGTGTCTTCCAGAAAATCAGGAGTGGTGTCCCAATAAATGACAAAAATCATCATACTTTACTTTTTGCCCCATTTATTTTTCTTTTTAAACACGTTATTTTAATATACAAGTTATTGCTTTAACTGGAAGGAGAAGAGAGAATCCGGAAATGAGAATGCTGTGAACTGAAGTTTATGAGGTTTTGATAGGTTGTTTAACACACATCAGATTGGGAAATGAAGGCATCTTAATTGAAACCTGATGTTTCACTTCACGAAAGTCTATTTGAGCATTTAGGAATAGTTTATGGTTCTTTGAGGCAAGCAGTGTTTGCCTGTGACCCCTAGACTGTGTGAATTGCAGTTTGTTCCTCCAGGTGGGACAGCAGGAGCTCTGCAGGTGCCTGTGTGGGGCTGAGATGTCAGCGTAGCCTGGGCGGTCTGTGCAAGGAGCCTGGTACAGGGATGCTGCCAGAGCTTAAAAACTGAGAGAGAGTTTCTAGCCTGTGGCTACAATTTTGCAGCAAACATGAGCTATGGATTGCTGTCATGGAACTGCTGGAGCTTCACACTTTAGTGAATTCTGCTGGGCAGGCTGCACACTGCAGGATCAAGGCTGGGGATGCCTTCGTAATCAAGGCCAACACAAAATCCTCATAAAGAGCAGTAATATTCCACTCTCCTTTGGTTCTGTTGCCTAAATAAACTTCAGTGCTTCTCTTGCACACCACATATGGTAACAATGTGCTGCCAATTAACTTTGTAATTTGGGGGCTTTTCCAGCAAGGTTGAGCAGAGCTAGTAAAATAGTTTGGGGCTGATCTCAAAGCGTTTTTCCCAGGATTCAATAAAGAGTGAATGTAGTAACATCCTCTGCTTTGATAATATAATTTGGGCCAGATGATCCTGGAGTATAGTAATGGGGTACAACTCAGACGTGCATTTTGATTGCCCTCATGGCAGTGGTAGCCAAAACCCTCAGCAAGGAGCAAAACTCACACCCACAATGAATAGTGACTTCTCTCTCGGACTGGTAAAGCTTTTTAGAAGTTGTCTTCAATCCTACTGAGGTCTCAAGAGCAGAAGAGCTGTTCCATACTGTATGTGGACTTCTCTTTCATGAGATAAGCTGATCATAAAGAACAAACTTTGGGCTTCTTGCAATATCTAGGGGAAAATAATTGTTAATGCCTGAAGATGGTTAAGCACAAAAAAAATATCTACTAAAGACCCTCTCTCTGATTAAATAATTCTGTTAATGCATGGGTGTGGGGTTGGCTTTCTCACTAGCCAAATGTGATTTTTGTTCAGATGGAAGTTCTCTTTATGCAGATCTTTGGGGCTTGAAACCAGACATCACTGGTATTGCAGCTGTTGGTTCAAGCTTGCAGCAGCACCCCTTACACTGCAGGCAGTTTACTGGGGGGCAAGCACGAGCATCAGCTCAGAGAGTACTGCTGGGTGCACAGACACTCCTGGGGTGGTCACTGCTGTGGTGCCTTTGGCTGTGTGGTGAACTGTCCTGTCCAGCCAGCAGCCCTCAGAGCCATGGGAGCAGTGTCCTTCTGGCTCCTGGGAGCCCTGAGCCTGGTGTGAGGCAGAAGGGAGAACACTTCAGGTGACACAAATTATCAGAAGTCTGAGGACCCCAGTGCAGACTGCAATGTTTGTTTCTCTCTCTTTGCTGGTGCTGTGCATCCATGGATCAGTTTATGATTTAACTCAACTCTGTAAGCCTTTTGTTTGTTCATGTACTGGAAATGGTTGAATCTATAAACTAAAAAAATAAAGCATCTTTCTTTGGACTTCACCCAGCCTCAGCACTAAGCTGGTGAAGGAGGAGCCATGTGCAGGAGGTGTTGCCAGGCTGATTCAGGCACCCAGCCATGGATTAGCACCTCTGCAGGGTGCTGACATCTCAGGGATTAACCTCTGATGCTGGAGTGTTAGCACATCCTGTCCACGGCTTCTCGTAGCTCTTAGATGGTTTTTCCTGTGGGCAGGCAGCCTTTCTGGAGGTGCCAGCAGGAATCCTTTGCTCCTTAGGCACTTTTCAGCTCCCTTGTCTCATCATCATGACCTTTTCTCTCATGAATTGCCCAGGTGTCAGCAAACTTTGTCTCCTGGGCTGTTCTTGCTGGACTGTGGCTTTTTGTAGGCTGTGTCTTGGAACCTGCTGGGTCTTTGTGGGGTAGAACAGAGGTGGGCATGGCAGGAGCAGAACAGTCTTCCACTTAATCCTTTCCAGTTATGCGGCTCTCCCTTTTTTGCATCTTCTAAGGCAGCTAGAGGGACAGGTGAGGGCCACTGCAGCTGCAGTCAGTTAAATGTAGAGACTCAGTGTCACTGTAAAGCTTTGGGTTTGCAGGGCACCACATCTGCTTTGTGGGCTGTGCTGTTCCTCCCATTGCCACTGCACTGGGACCAGTCCATGAGATGCTGGGGAAGGGATGCTCACACAAACTGGTGCTGGGGGGCAGGTAAATGCTCATAGCAGCTTCTTCTTGATACAAGCCCAGCCACCTCCTTCTGCTCGTGAGAGATGCCAAGGAACTGAAGGGAGTTTGCTTCTCAGTGAAGAGCAGGCCATGAACTCCCATTTAGCATGGGGTAAGGGTGTATGTGCTTATCACAGAGCAGGTAGAGTGCAGTAAAGTCATGCCTTTGGTTGCATTCTGTTAAGTCCTTACATCCTTTAGAAATACTCCCTGCACTGCACAGGAATCTGCTCTATGGCAAATGGTGAATCAGAGCTTGTGCGTCAGGTTAGATGTGGTCAAAAACACTGGGACTGGGCTTGGGTGTTGAGGAACTGAGCAGGGAAGTGGCAGAAGGGAGCCTGCTGGGCTGGCCTGTCTGCAGCCACCAGCTGCTGGCCCTGCCCTGTGCTCAGCTGCAGACAGCCATTCCTGCAGGCTCTGCCCCACTCCCAGCCAGGGAAGCTGCAGGAAGGGCACTGAGATGCTCTGCTGTGTTTTTTGAAGCCCACTATTGCAGCTGTTTCAGGGCATGGGTGGAGGTAGCTCTGGGAGCAGCAGTGTGCATTGTAAGCTCCTGTGACAGGCACCACTCCACAGAATTGTGAGCACTTGCCTGCTCACAATGAGTGACGCTAAATTGCTTTCTATGCCATATTTTCCACACTTTTCAGCTAAAGGAAACAAAGGGTAGGTTTGAGTTTTCTCTGATGCAAACAAAGAAACAAAAGGGATAGTTCATGTATGTTGAGATGACTATTGTAGTTTTGTTCTGGATTTCTTTTGTTTTGAAAACTTCAATGCTATTAGGTGATCAGATTGTAACTGATAAAATTAAGGTAAGAATTTTTCCCAGGTAAGCAAATTTTTGGATTTTTTCCTCAAATCATTTAGTATAGTAGTCAAACCAATTTAAATATCCAGGTGTATTATTGTTTGTAGGGAGTTTATTCTTCAGTAACACTTACCCTTTTATTGAAAAAGGTAACAATTGGAATAGTCTAAACAATCCAATAGGTCTTACCCTGAACTAAGTAAAATCCCATAAATAACTGGAATTCATTTAACATATTAAGGGAGTCAAATATTTCTAAAAACAGATTTACAGCAGTCATTTCCTTCCAGTCCAGCAGGCAGTGACACATGAATGACCCAGGCATGGAATGAAAAGCAGCAAGAGCTTTTCACATGCACCAAGCAAAGAGCAATTCCAGCCCTAGTTCAGTCACCAGCACTGGATCTTCAGCACAAGCCCTCGAGGTAATGGTCAGCCTCAACAGAGTCCAGAGGAGTTCCAGAGTTCATTTCTGCTGACTGACTTCTTTCCTTATGTGAGTAGAAGTCAGTCTTTAAAGCCTCTTCAGGGGGCAGAATGGAAGATGAAACATCCATGTCTTGAGGTGAAGCCTTTTTCTTCATGCTTGCAGCAGAGAACAGTGTAGGAGCAGTCAGGAGAACCTGCCCCATGTCTGTACAGCTAAAGGCATTTCTGGTCCCCAGAAACCATTGGCACACAGCTTTTGCAAAGCCAAGCTCAATGTTTGTGGCAGAGAATTGTGAAGGAGAGAAGGCTGCCAGTGATTTCTGGGCTTTGCCGTTCCCAGCTCACACTGCTTGCTGGGCACCAGTTCAGGTCAGAGACTCATCATGGCCACATCTGCAGCAGTGGTCATGTTGGACCTTTCCAGGTCTAACCTGCACTAACACTGTGCAGCTGGGGGGCATCCCAAGGGGCTCCTGCCTCAGCACTGGCTGCTGTGGGGCTGTAGCTCTCCAACCATTTGGTTAAAGCAGCACTGCTTGGTGACACAGGAATACCCAAGCACACAGAGGGCCATGAGCAGGAGCACAGGCTTTGAACAGGTCTCACACTAGATTATTATTTTGAGACAAGATAGTAGAATTTGAGGGTTTTGTCTTAGCAAAAGCCTCAAATAATGAGAATCCTGCTCAGTTGTTTGAGAGTTTTATTTTTATAACTCAACAGAGGAGGTGTGGTGGCTGCTTTGGTATGTCTTTGGGGCACGGCTCAAGGGTGTGTGTGGTGAGATAGCACTGACACATTGTGCAGGGCATTGCAAGCCAGATTTGGCACAGCCATGACCATGATGCTTAACTTCTTTTGGAGTCACTTGTCCCCCAGCTTGCCCCATGGGTTGTATATGGTCCATTAGGTCCAGGTTAGAGGTTAGCAGCTAATGAATTTAAATGTACAATCAGGAGAGCTTGGAAGCTCTGTTGATGCAGCCAGGGAGTAGTTATAGCCACTTCCTCTCTAATAATGTGTCTCCTCTTACTTGGCACTTCTTTACTAAGAGGAAAGGAGGGGAGAGCCCTTTCCCTTAGACCTGAGAGTGCTGCTCTGCTGCATTCTCTGCAGCACAGCCTGGGAAATGTCTCTAGATCCTGCAGGGTGTTGTCTTTCCCATGCCACAAGCTGGGCATGAGGCAGTGCTTAATTTTCAGCAGGCAGCAGGAGTAGCAGAATCTCAGCAGGCTGCCACAGGAGAGCAGGGCTCAGTTTCTGTAGCTTAATCCAAATCAAGACTAAAATACTGACACTAAAGCAATGACAATTAATCAACAATTGTACTTTTTTATCGTTTTGTTCAAGGCAGCTCCATTTTCTTCAAGACTGTCTAATTCCCCAGTTACTGTTCAATCCCTCTGATGGTTGCTTCTTTTTTAAAAATAAGCACTTTGGAGCAAGTGCCCAGTTACGTGTGTGTGATCTGGGCATGTGTGGGTGCACACACACTTTGCACCATGCTCTTCTCTTAGGCAGGTGCTATTATCCACACATTTACTGTGGGTGGGTTCTGCAAGCACCCCTGTGCTGCCCTAATAGTTGCTGCCCTCAGTGAATAGCAGGGGTGATCATTTTGACAGTATTTTCAAGAGGCATCTGCCTAGCCCATAGGTTTCTGACTGCAGCAGTGAGATTGAGGCTGCATCTCACCACTGAAGGATGCAGAATTCTGCCTTCAAGGGGGACACATATTAAGCTATAGCTACTGCAGTGTTGGAGGGTACTAACAGCAATTAGGCATAATTAAGAAACTGTCATCAGATCATCAGTTTCCAGATGTGATTTTTAGGGTAATGCAAAACAATTTGCTAAGGACATCCTGTGAATTTCTGGTAATTATAGAGGCCAAATCAGATACATCTACTACAAGAGGTTAGGAAGGTAGGTAGTCTCTGGTATTTTAATCATTTTTGAGAGCAGAGCAGGTGGTACTAAGATAGTGGCATGTCAGGAACTACTGAAGAATTACCTTGTATTTTTCCATAAATATCATTGGATGTATTGTAGAAAGAGTAAAGTCAGACAGATATTTGGTGACCAAACGAAAGTTCACTTTCAATTTCTGTCCACTGTTATTCTCCAGACAGAGTATGCCTGAAAGAAAGTTTGGCAGTCCTCCCATGAGGTTGGGTAATGTGATTAATTCTCTGTGGTTTGCAAGACTCACATTAGAAAGTTAGCTCTTAAATGTTAAATTGGCCAGTGAAATTCCCTCCAGGCAAAGACCCCGTGTCTCCCTTGAGCGATACCGTGGGAATGGGCCCAGTGCAAGTGTGGGTGGTGTTAGCACCACGGTGCTCCCAATGACGACACAGTCCCAGGGATGAAACCATTCACTCACTGTGTTTTGGACACTGTAACTACAGCTCTGATGAGGGAAAGGGTTTTGTGGCACGTCCACTTACCAGCTGATGCAATCCCAGTGACATACAAATGTCATCTTCTATGCAAAACATAAAGCTGAGAAATCAGAATTAAACTGTCATGTCTGGAAAGACAGGATGTTCTTGGATATTTTGAAATTTGGGGCAATGTTCTTATCCTTTCCTAATAAACTTTTTCCATTTTTTTGAAACCCCTGCTTGATATTTTTTGGCTCCCAGTGAATTAACAGTTAACTAAAGTGACTAGAATAAAACCAGTATCGTTTTTGTGAGTATCAATTGAAATTAAGCAATGAGAACTAAATTACTCTGCTGCTTTTCCTGGCATCTAGAGCTGGAACAGCAGGATGTAGGAAGATCTTGTCATTTCAGGTGTGCTCTGTTACTGTTGTGCTGCAAATATTTGAACTTAATGTCTCATTGATTTAGCCATAAGCAGTTTTTGCCTGTTTGTTTTCAGATTAGAGTAATTCCAGTGCACTGTAGTGGAGTTCTACAAAGCACATGAGTTGTGCTCCCAGCTCTGCACATCTCAGCTGGGATATGGGTGGCATTCTTTGCTTGGAAAACATTTTCCTTCAGACTGGTCAGGCAATCAGAAGTGAGCACAGTCATGTGCCAACAAAAGCCAGTTCCTTTGAATGAGAGGCAGAAACTCAAAACTTTGTTCCCAACCTTTATGAACATGCAATAGCACTGCTCACCAGTTCAGGGTAAACCATTGTAAATGAAAAATATAAGAGTGCAGTTGGTTTCTACATCTCAGCTAAGAGCTTTCACCCTTGGTGACTGTCTGAGCATGTCCTCTGAATTTGTGATATTTCCAATATGGCCAGTCTTGGATATTCAACAAATGAAGATGTGGGTGGATTTCTCAGCCTCTCCCTAGGCCCTGGGGCAAACTTGCCTCTGGATTTATCTATCTGGCTAAAAGGGAGCTAGAAAAGTCAGTGAGCTAGGATTTTACACTGGAAACACTTTGCTGTCCCAGCAGAACACACAGGAGCTGTGCAGCACTGCTGTCACAGGGCCAGAGCCCAGTGAAATGGGAAGGGCTAAGGCTGGACATCAGTGCACACTGCAGGTCAGCAGATGGGAAAGGACAGTTGTGGTGTGCCCTGGATGCTATCACCCATCTCTGACTGGCTTCCCACTGCTCCTTGTTTTCCCAGTGTGTGGTTTGGAGGGAATGGCACAGGTCAGAGTGCCCCTGCTCTGTCAAGGTGCCCCTGAGAAAAGGAAGGGATCTTGGAACGCACTGCCTGATCTCCTCTCCATCTCCCAGAGCTGTTTAACAACCTTAAACTGCATTTGCCATCAGTAAAATAAGGTGTTTGTGCTGTTCCTCAGTTTTGCTCCTGTGTGGTGACCTGTTTGGGATAAGTATTCTTCCTTAGCCTAGCTGGAAGCCAGTAATGTGCATTATTAACATTGTAATCCACTGTCTACATCTGTTTTAATTTCAGAAGGCTAATGTATCCACTGTGATTCATCCTCCAGCTCATCTGCTGCCCTGTTCTCAGGACAGCAAAGCTGTGGAAGGGGAGTCTGACCATTTGCATTAATTTCTTTACAAGTTGGGAGGCTATCATCAACCCTGCAAGCTGGCAGGTTGAATATAGCCAAATACCATGTTCCTGATTTTCTGCTTAGCAGCAGCAGTGCCCCCATGAGCAGAGACAATAAGAGGAAATGTTTGATGATAAAGATGACAGCCTGCTAATGCCTTCCATTGCTGCTTTCTCTCCTCCCAGAACATCCCCACCCTGGGAAGCGTAGCAATAACCATGGCACTGCACAACTGTGACGAGGTGGCGGTGGCTGGCTTTGGCTACGACATGAGCTCACCCAATGCACCGCTGCACTACTATGAGAACATCAAGATGTCTGCCATCAAAGAGGTAGGCAGCTCCTGCCAAGCACATCCTCCTCCCAAGCCCACAGGCCACCCCGACTCCAGAGCCTGACTGGGATCGTGATGTTAACTTACGGCTGTGCTGTGTGGATCAAAACTCAGCTCTGCTCATGCATCTGCTTGTAAATTCCTAGACATTCTCCCAAGCTCAGTGTGTGTTAAAAATGGTTATTACTGCTGGGAAAAGTTCTCTGGAATGTGTATATAATGTAATTTCTTCTTTGAGTGGCAGGGAAAGGATTCACATAAATGTTTACCCAAAGAGTGTGAAAGGGAGCAGTTCTGCTCGGGGTTGAAATGATGCACCCTCTCCTGCTTTTTGATCCATTGGATTGCTCTCTAATCTATAGGCTTCCTTTGTGAGCTGATCCCCTCCTCAGGCCCTGGGAAGCATGGGGGAGGTGAGATCAGCCTGTGTACCTGAGCTCTCAGCTGGCTGTTCAGCAGCACCTCGCTGGTGTGAACACCACTGGCTCTGTGGAGGTCCACGTTAAACACATTTTCTGCTACTACCACAGTGAGACAAACAGTGTTTTTGGAGGAACAAAAGTTCTCATATCGGTATAATGCAGCAGTATAGATACCTTCAGGTCTGTCCATTTCCTGTACCAAACTAGAGCAAACTTGGACACTGGTCAAAGCTTCTATAGTGGGAAGGTTTGCTGCCTTTATGGAAAAGCTCCTTCTTTCCCAGCACAGATGTGACCCAGGTCTTCCTAAGATTGCTTCTCCCTCTTCTCTAGGTAGGGAAACTTGGTCTATCCTACTCCACACTGTGGAAAGTTGTATTGTTCATGGACAGTAGCTGTCTCCTGGCATCTGGCATTTGTTCACCCCAAGGACTTTACCACTGATTCAGACCAGGAGGGAAGCTGGGAAGTTGTGTTTTTTCAAATCACAAGACTGTATGTGTCTTAGTACTCTCACAGGCTGCAGGCTGCATGACCCTAGGCAGAGTGAAAGGAATTATAAATCAATGATTAGTCAGCTTGAGAAATGAGAAGAGTGCATCTAATTATCAGAGTAATGAGACTTTGAAGCATGAAGCTCTCAGCAGAGGCTAAGGGAACAGAGTTTAGGAAAAGGCTGTGGGGAGGTCCTCAATACACCAAGGGATTTGACACAGTGGTCCTGAGGTACCTTCTGGGCCTGTGGAGGTGGCAAGAGAGTCTGCTTAGCTCAGTGGGGTAACCATGGATTTAATTAGTCCTTACTGGGGAAATGAGTGCCTATTTGAGAATTTAAGGGGTATGTCCAAAGAAGTAAATTGAATTGAGGTGATGTCTGGCTTATGAAATCCCTGAATGGAAAATAGCTAAGAAATCTAACCTTTGCAGGAGTAGAGGAGGTATCACCATCTGGAGGTATCACCATTATAACCATTGCCAGAGACAGGACCCCGGGCTCCCCAGGCCCAGGTCTGAGGCAGTACAGCTGGTCCCTTGGTCTTACAGCAAAGGGATGGCTAGGCCAGAGTGAAAATGGCTACAGATGCCTGAATCCAGCAGGGAATACAGAGACTCTTCAAGAAAGTTTCAGGAAAAGCTTTTGGTGCCACTGTTTTCAGTCTGGTGAATCAGCTGCCTTTGGTGGAGAATCACTTTTGCCCAGTTGTTCTTCCTGTCTCATAAGGATGTCAGTCCCATGGTCAGATTTTGGACATGAGGACACCACTGGAACTAACAAGAATGAAGTCTTCTTTTATTTCATCCTTAGACAAATCAATGGGAAAATTTGTCATAGAGCTGGATAATGGAGTCTATGGTTGAAGTTGCAGGTCCACATCACTTGGATCTCTGAATTTGGAGGCCAGCACCCCAAATGGGATCCAAGGCCACTGGAAGGCTGGAGGAGGTCACTCTTGGACATTGTTTGGGGTCTCAGGATTAGTTAGATGAGGATGAACACATGAAATGCAACCAGAGAAGTCTCCTAGAGAGAGCAGTTGGTGCTGATTTGCCAGGGCTCTGCTGTCTGGAAGCCATCAGTCATCGTGTCCTGTACAGAGGTGAGGGAGCGTTGAAAGGTTCTGGTGAGGCCTCAGTAATTCAGATGTCAGTGGATTTGTTTCTGCAGATGGGGCTGTTGTTGGGAGCTCTGCAGCCCAGTGAAGCTGGTTCTAGGAGGAAGGTTCCTGTTCCACTTGAAGGCTGGTTACCTGATCTGTGTCTGCCCATCCAATCCTCACATCCTCACCCACGGGCTCCTCTTACATTTCACTGCCCTTCTACAAGAAAAGGCATCTGTTCCCAAGTATCAATAATTAATGCTCCTCCTGCCTCTGCCCCTCCCAATATGACAAATTGTTTGTGATATTGTGGAATGTGAAGAGCAAAGAGAGGATCACGTTTCTTTCTCTCCTATTTAATATTAATGGTAGCTGGTAATTGTTAGTCATCTGAGGGTGAAGTTGAAAGGTGAAGGGCATAATAGCTGGCTTGTGTCTTCTCTTCTGTAGTTGCCTTCAAAGAATGCAGAAATAGAGATTTGCCCCACTCCAGACTGGAAGCACCTGCTTGATGGAAGGGATTTGACATTGCTGCATGGACCTGCATGCAGCTTGCAAATGGGGAGGCTGGCCTGCACTGGCACCCTGTGTCAAACCTTGCCCTTGGTATTAGTGAAAGAATACTGACCCAGAGCCAGGCTCCACCAAGGATTTGTCTGTTCCATCTGCTCTGACACCCAGAGGTCCAAGAGCATCCACAGGATTTTTCTCAGTGTTTCTTTGGACCTCTGGGATTGTGTCCAGACCTGGTTCTTCCTGGTCCTCCTCTACATTTCAGCCTCTAAAGGAGCCACTAAAGCAGGCTATACCTTGAAATTATGCAAGTATCATCTTTGTCCTCTGGTCAGCAGACACATGGAGGCTGGAGTGTTCATTCCTGGGCAGGGGAATGGAACAGGTTTGCTTAACATGGCATCATCACAGCACTGAAATAACTGCAATGGGATACAGCTGTTCCACCACAATGAACATCCCAGGCAGGAGCCCCTGCAGTTTGACCAGGCTTTGGTGGGGCAGAACCTCTATTTCTGAAGTTCAAATCACTTCAGTGACTGCCAAGCTTCTCCAGCCTGAATGTCTGAAAATGTTCAGTGTTTAAGCCTAGAGAGCAGCTGCAGGGAAACACTCCAGCTCCACCCTGAAAACATCACTGTCTTTACAGAGGAAATGTAAACACCAGCAGTGTCCTGGGCCTGGAGATGCCACACATGTGTGTGTGGACTGTGGGAGCCTGTTGGGTAATATCCCTCTAGCCCCATCCCTTGCCTGGTATCTGCAGGGCAAATGGGCTTGCTGGTGAGCAGGAGTCCTCTCAGCAAGGTGTGTCACTGATTTACACTTGAGGCTGCTTGACATCTCTCTGGACACCCTTGAAACCCTGTGAGTCATCTCCAAGGAATTTGTTCTGATTATATAAAAAAAGCCAGCAAAATGCACTCACTTGCTCACGGCTGGGTGGAGATGCCTCTCCCATGCCAAGACTGAGGTGATAAAATCTCTGTGGAAATGAATCTGATTTTTCCTGTTGCTCTGTGGCACTGGCAGCTGAATTTCCACAAGGAGAAACAGGCCTACCCAGTCCATAGTTTAGCCCAGCCTGTGCATTCCCCACAGGAGTAAAAGCTCTCAAGGTCCAAGATTGTGCTGCTATTGCTACCACAGAAGCCAGCTGCCTGCACTGAGTCTTCTAGGATCCCCAGCTGAGGGCTGGACAGGCATTTCCTGCCCCAGAAGAAGAGGATCTGCAAGGAAGGAGATGCACTGGAACTTGATCACTGTTAATTGTCAAGGAGAAGTGTACGATCTTGCGACCCTGTTCTGTAGTATGGCTGCAAACATGTGTGGATTTTCCTGTGCTTGGGAATGCTTGTCAGAGTAAATTTCTCTAATTTGGTACTTTACCTTCTTTACCCTCTCTCCTGGGTAGCTCAGTGTACTCTGCCCAGGGTATGTCCAGGCAGAGCTGGTAGAGGACACCCTCTTCTGTTGCTCAGCGTGCTCAGGAAAGCTGGAAGCACACTGGGGTGGTGCTCTCAGTTTTAGGTGTGAGCTGGAAGATCAATGCAATTGAAACTGTGCCTCAAGGCCAGTTCTTGTGTGTCTGCACTGCTCCCTGCACAGCTGGGGTGCAGACTCCAGGCCTGCACTTCAGCTGGAGATTTCTGGGTGGTGTCAGGACAAACTTTGTTCTCTGATCTGTTACTGGGACTCCGGTGCCCAACAGACCCAGTGCTGTTGTATAAACTCTCACGGATGATTTTTCAGCTCCTATCCCATCTCTTTGTTTTAGCTTGCGAAATGCAGAATGGCCAAATGTGTCACCTCTGTTCAGTTACTATTTTCCCTATTCCAAATAACTTTGCAACAGCTTTTGTCCCTTCCCTGCTTCCATGAATGCTGTACAAAAAATTGAGTCTTTGCCAAGGTGTCTGCTCACTTGTTTCTGTTTTCATGGCAATGAATCTATTGGAGTCAGATTTTCATATACTTTTTTGTATTTTTATGTCTTGCTCAGGTCCTGTAACTCTTCCTGTCCAAGCACTCCATAAAAATGTATTTTTATCACAGGTCACTGTCTTCTATTAATGTAGAAGTGTCAGACCCACTGGGAACATAGCGAGGGAAACGTGGAAATGGTGGTGAGGAAAAAGAATAATTTTGAAATAGAAATTATTTAAGGATGGGAAAGTGACTGTTTAGAATAGTAAAAACAGATCCATAAGCAGCTTATGAAACTGAGAGAGCAGGGGGCTGTGCTAAATCATGGGAACGAAGCACAAGGCAGGCTCCCAGCATCCCTCCTCCATGTGCTCTGCCCCAGCACAGTCTTCCCAAACCTCATCATCCAGAGGTGAGCTTCTATCCCCAGTCATTTCTTGCAGGAGCAAGGATCTGAGCAAGGAGTTACCTCAGGTGCTACACAGGGAACTTCCTGGGCCGTCTTCTCAGCTGCAGACTGCCGCACACACTTAGGAGTG